TTCTCCGCCCCCCCCCCTCTCCGCCGCCTTTCTCTCCGCCGCCCTCCCCTCCACCGCCCTCCCCTCCGCCGCTCCCCTCTCTGCCGCCCTAGTCTCCGCCCCGCCCTCGTCTCCGCCGCCCTCGTCCCCGCCACCCTCCCCTCCGCCGGCCGCCCCTCCCCTCCGCCGTCCCCGTCTCCGCCGCCCTCGTCTCCGCCGCCCTCGTCTCTGCCGTCCTTCCCTCCGCCGCCTTCGCCTCCGCCGCTCCCTCCTTCGCCCTCCTCTCCGCCGCCCTCGTCCACGCCGCCCTCGTCTCCGCCGCCCTCGTCTCCGCCGCCCTCGTCTCCGCCGCTTTCCTCTCCGCCGCCCTCCTCTCCGCCGCCTCCGTCTCCGCCGCCCCCCGCGCCACCCACCCCCACGCCGACGCCCTCCGCACCGCCGCCCCCCCTGTGGACCTCGCGGTGGGCTGGCGCAGTGTCCCCCCTGTGGACCTCGCGGTGGGCTGGCGCAGTGTCGTGGTTGGGCTGGGCGCCCATGCTGCTGGCAGCCACAGGCGGGACAAGGAAAGGCTGGCGGCGTGCTGGCTGGGCCTGGTGCGAGGAGTGCGGCCCGACGAGGAGACGCTCTGCAACGAGTCGAGGCGACCCTCCCTTGGAGAGGACCAAAGCAGGCCAGAACTGCTCGAAATGCTTGGACAAGCCGCGCGGCACGTTTTGTTTTCATCACGCGTGAGCTAGCGCTCGAGCATTGACTCTCAGCGCCATGGTCTCAGCGAGCTTGCCAGCCTACTCCGACTCTCCGACTGCCTTTGCCTGGCCTTCGTTCCTAGCACGCATGCCGCCCCACCGTGCCCCAGTTCTTTTTGAAATTCCTTTTGAACGAAGGCAGGGTCGGAGAGGCAGAGGAGTCAAGAGATAAATAAACAAAGTGCAGTAGAAAATCCAACATCCAAATCGCAAACGTAGAAACCCAAACACACACAGCCACGTGGCATAGGAGAGCAGGAGGCGAAAAGGAGGTCAGCACAAGTTGCAAGGACGCACGAGCGAGAAGTACAGCAGAGCAGACAGATGATGATTACCACCCAGCGCACGACCGCCAACTCTCCGGCGCAGGCCGCGAAAAATCGAGTCCTCCGGAATACGAAAAACGGTCACAAACTCTCGTGAGACGAGATGGGATTTAGGGACATGTGTCCCCGCCCTGCACGATCTTGGTGTGAGGGATCTTCAATCCGTCCCCTCACCCCTGGTCACTACCCGACACTAGAAGAGCAGCAAGAGTTGGGGTTGCGGCTACGGCTGCGGCTGCGGGAGGGGCTATCGGCTATGGCGTCGCGGGAGAGCCGCTGTGCGCCGCGTGGGCGCGCCTACACCGCGCTCTCAAGTGCGTGCTCCAAGTGCTTTTGAGTTTTGACCGCCGAAAAAGAAGAGATCTCGCCGATTTTTTGGGTTACACCACAGGCTGACCACTACAGAGGTTAGTGAAAGAAGAGCCAGAACATCAACCACCCACACAGTACAGTAAAAAACAGCCCAACAATTTCCCCATATCTCCCCCGCTGAGCGCTGTGGTCCCAAAGCGAAACTAGACGCCGGCTGGGGCAGAGCTGCGCGCGCCCGAGCACGAGAGCGCGTCGAGCAGGTCGACGGCGGCCTGCTCCTCGCGCTGCTGCTCCTCGGCGATGGACTTGACCGGTCAGCAGCTTCCACCTCCACCGTGCTGGAGCGAGCGAAAAAGAGGAAGCCGTACACCTCCGCCCAGACGGCGTTGGACTGACGCGGTCAGCGGCTTCGTCGGTGTTCTGTAGCCGAGCGCGAGCGCCACGTCTCGTCACGCGCACTATCGTCGAAGAGTTTCGAGAATTTGTCATCACATGTCGTCGTTCACCCTCGCATCGGCAGGGCTGGCGGCGGGCGCCGGCGCTGCCCTTGCTGGCGCTCCAAGATTCTCGTGGTCGTCAACTTCGTTCGCCGACAATGCGGCCTCCGCCGCTGCAGATGAGGGCTTCGCGTCCACGACCTCGTCTCCGAATTCGGTGCCACAACGGCAGACATGACCCCGACCTCAGCGTCGCACACATCCTCCGACTCGAGAAAGACCCTGAATCAGCGTCACACGAGCGGTAAGCAGGCTGTTCGACAGACGCGCTCCTCCGACCCAGCCTCGCTATCCAAGCTGGTTCGATCCGCGAGCCTCCGCGCCTCCGCGCCCCGCCGCACCGCGACCCGCCGGACGATGCACAGGGTGAGGAGGAGCTTGAGCGGCGCTAGCAGCTTCCACAGCGCAAAAGCCGCGACCAACAACGTGCCTGATGTAAGGCGAACAGTGAGTCGGGTGGTTGAGGCGCGCGCTGCTGCTGGGCGCGGCGTACACCTTCTGCCGCCGCCGTCGAGAGGCCAGCGTGCTGCAGCATCGGCCCCGCATCCATGCCGGCAAAGAGGGCGGCGCAGATGGCACAAAGCGCTGCCAGCGAGATGGACACGTACACAATAAGCACCAGCGGGCCGTATTCGAGGACGAGCTCCTGAAGGCTCTGAGGCATGAGGCAAAAGGTCCGGTCGCACTTCGGGTTTGGCGCAAAGAATTGAAGGCGCTTCACAGATACATGCCGGCGGCGCGACTCCCCCCCGCAGATCGCCCTCAGTGGGGGAGACCGCGACACCGGTGACGGAGCGCAGTTGGGAGAATTCAGTTGGGAGTATCTTTGGCTCACGCCAGGGCGCTCGTTGCTCCTCCGTCTCTTTGTATCTTCCATATTCCGCGAGTGCGTGTGCCCCGTCGTCCATTGCTAGGACGTGTGTAACACTGACTGACTGATATACTGCGATTATCAGAAGACTTCGGGCTCTTCGAAACGACAGACTTTCTTGACAGACTTGTTTCGTGCTCGCCGCGTGCGGCGATTAAGCGCCTCCCTCTCTCTCCGCACTCCGGCTGCGCGCCTGACCGGTGCGGCCTCCGTCCGAGTCGGCGTCTAGCGCGCGTGATAAGGTTTTTGCTCGCCTTCCCTGGGACCCCGTGTTGCATGTCTGACTGTCTCTGTGCGATTTCGGGCCCGGGGTTGTGCGTTTATGTGAACGACAGTGAACGAAAGAATTTTCCAAAGAAACTTCGCACGACACCTCGCGAGGCGGTGCGGACTGCCGGAGGCCTCGGTCTCCCCTCTGCCCGTGCGACTTTCGCTAACTCCCTCAGCGTAGATCGTCTCTCTTCGGCGCGCTCGAGCACGTTTGGCACCAAGAGGCTTTGATTCTTACGACCCTCACCCGCCAAGGCAGGTGTGCACTCTGCTAGTACTTGTGTACTCACACCACTACACTGTGGGGTGTGCCCGAGCATGATGTATGTGCGCGTCTGTGTGTGTGTGGGACAGACGTTGTTATCCTATGCGCGGGGCTTCCCGCGGGGACCGAAGACGTAATAACACAGCAGCAGCAGTAGGCGGGACTGGCGCGCACTGGAACGAAAGAATTCCGAGCACGCCTCACCTTGGGCCGGCGTGGAGCGCTGTGAGACCAGAGCCCGACCAAAAGGGCTGTGAGACCCACCAAAAGGAGGAGCCTCCTCCCGCCACCCCTGACCCCAGGAGGAGACTGGGGAGGACACCAAAATGCTGCTGCTCTTTCTGAGCCTCCGCCCGCGGTCGGCGCAGCGGCGCCCGTCCCAGCCCACGCGCTGCTGCGCGGCGGAGCCGCTTTGGGAGGAGGAGCGCGAGCAGATGGAGCACCTGCGCTACATGGCGGCCTGCGCCGCGCAGGTCGACGAGCTCAAGGCTCTCGCGCGGCCGCCGGTTGGCACGTTGGCTGCAGCCGCGGGGCATGGCGGCGCTGAGGGTGCCGTTGCTGAAGGTGCGAGCGATCTCTGGGACGAAGACGTCGAGTCGCAGCAGCACCTGCAGGAGATGGCCGCGCTCGACGCGTCGGTGACGAGGCTGCGCGGGATTGCGAGCGGCTCGCGCGCAGCCACCGCCCCGCTTCGCGCTGCGCGTTCGCCCACCCGGCACGTCGGTCCCGCAATGGCGCTGCCGCCTCGCTCGACTGCGAGCGTCCTCACTCGGCGGAGCGCCGTGGCCGCGGCGGCGGCGGCGGTAGCCGCGGCGGCGGCGGGGCGTGCGGCGGCCGCCTCGCCGGACGGCGGGGACGGTGCGACCGAGCCGCCTCGAGGCGCTTTGGACGTTGTGTTTGAGGGGTACCGCCGCTACCTGGCGAGCCCCGCGTTGCAGCTCGAGCGGGGCGGGCCATACATGAGCGCGAACCCGCTCAGCGGCGACGCCGAGTTCTCGTACCCGATCACGGGCGCGCGGCAGGCGGACGGCGCGCCGCTGCTCGTCTTCGGCTTCCTTGCGACGCGCGGCGGCGGCATCTTCCCGGACGAACTGCCCTTCAACATCTTCCAAAAGATTCTGCGCCGCGTGCTGCCCGACGGGGCGATCCCAGACTACCCAAAGGGAGACTATCGCAGGCAGTTTCAAGACACGTGGTACGGCACCAACGAGAAGGCCGACCTGCCCTTTGGCCTGAATGCAAACGCGGAGGAGGAGGGGCTGCCGGAGGGTGCTGGCCCGCTGTTGCAGGGTGAGCTGGAGGCGAGCAGCGGGGCCGCCGGGGGCGCCGCTAGCGACCAGTCAGAGAGCGACGCGGAATAATCACATAAAAAAGAGTACAACTGACGTGATGTACCGGACCCGCACCACCCGCCGCCCACACGCGGCGGCACGCCATGGGCGGCGGGTCCGGGTCTCGTGAGAGATGGCACCTGTGTGTGCGCGCGGCCGTGCGGGCGCGCGGCAGTGTGCAAGAGGACATGGCCGCGGCCCGCTCCGCCTCTCTGGCAGAGGACCCCGGAGAGGGGCCCGACGGTCCCCTATATCTCCTGCTATCTCCTGCTCGCAGAGCCGAGATTTGACACCTTGTCGACCAAAACGATTGTCCGCCTGCGCCTTCGTCGGTCGATGGCCGAACGAACGCGTGCCCGGCGTATCTCCGCATCGACGTCTCTGATGACCCTGAGGCCAGCTATCAGCCCTTGCGAAGCTCGGCGGGTAGCTCGAGGCGGATCTCCGTCCGAGTTTGGCACGCCACGCAGAGCCGGCGCGTGTAGAAGAGCGAGCACGCCGGCGCGGCGCAAACAACCCTTGAGCTGCGGCAGGCGGGTAGGAGTGAGAGTGAGCGGTTGCGCGGGGCCTGCCGTGCCATCGCACCACACGGAGCAACTGGCGCCGATGCACAGCGGATGGTTCGTCGCTGCGTTCGTGGGGTCTCGCAAAATGTAAGCCCGTTCACGGAAGACGACGCTGGGCGCCCACGGCGGCCGGTTGCCGATGTAGTCGATGCGCGACTCGAACCCGCAGAGCGCACATGTGAACGAGGTCTCCGATTCCGGCTCACGCGCGCCCATTACGACAAGTCAGAGCAGCAGGGTTCGGGCTCCTTGGCAGAGGGGGTAACCGTTAACCCTTTCAAGGACATCCTCACGAACCACGGCTTCACGTTCAAGAACACCGTCAACGACCAGCCCCTCCGCCTCTGGCTTCGCGTCGAGCCCGAGGGCCAGCCGGACATGGACGCCGACGACTTCGAGGCCCTCTTCGAGCAGTACGGCTTCGAAGTGAGGGCGAGGACGAGGACGAGGACGCGTAGTCAATTGACTCGTGTGCGCAGCGAGCGCTGAATCATATGCACATGCACATGTAGGATTTCCACAGCTGTCCGATTTGCATGACATGCCCAACATGCACAATCTGTGTGAAGCTGTGAAGAGAGACGTCTAGAGAAACAGATCTTTCAAACTCGGTGTCGAACCACCAGCCCGACGCTCACTACAAGTGACTCCGCTTAAGAAAAATCCCTGGGCTCAACAATGATGCGCCTCTTGCCACTCTCGAATCCGCCCGCGCAGCGCGTGGTTTGGGGTGAGGATGCTATGCTCGAGCGCCTCGCCCGTCATCGGGCTCGTCGACTTGGTCGCGAGCCAGCGCTCGATCTGCTTCCGCTCGTAGGAATGGCCGTCCGTCGCCATCACCGGGTCGCTCATCACCTCGGTCGTGATGGGGCAGATGAAGTCGGCCGGCGGCGGCGGCTCCTCCCTCGACGGCGCCTCCGGCTCGGGCGGCTCCTCCTCCCTCGGCGGCGCCTCCGGCTGGGGCGGCTGCTCCTCCGCCACCCGCCTCTTCTCCTCCAGCCTCGCGTTTTTCTGGAGCGCCGCCGCCAGCTCCGCCTCCTCCGCCGCCGCCATCGCCCCCCCCTCCGCCGCCGCAACCGCCTCCGCCTCCTCGCCTTGCGGCTCCTGCGACGGCCCAGCGCCGCTCCCTCCGCCCCTGCCCTTCTTCTTCTTCTTCTTCTTGGCCTTGCGCTCCTTGGCGCGCTGCTCCGCCTCCTTCTCCGCCTCCTCATCCGCCAGAAGCGCTTCCGCGTTCCGATCCGCCGCCGCCGCCAGCTCCGCCATCTCAGCCTCTCTTGCCGCCGCCTCCGCCGCCCTACCCTGGGCGCGCATGCTCGCGGGCGAGAGGCGGAGGACGGTGGTCGTGGGGTCGAAGGCCGCGTCGCCGATCTCGCAGGTGGTTGGCAAAGTGACGTTGGCGAGGGTGGAGCAGCCTTCGAAGGCGGCTTCGCCGATGGAGGTAAGGCCGGCGGGGAAGGTGACGGAGCCGAGGGCCTCGCAGGCGTCGAAGGCGCAGTCGCCGATCGAGGTGAGGGTGGCGGGGAGGGCGACGCGGGCGAGGGCGGAGCAGCCGGAAAAGACAGCGCAGCTGATGGAAGTGAGGCCGGCAGGGAAGGTGACACGGGTGAGAGAGGAGCAGCGGAAGAAGGCGGCCTCGCCGATGAAGGTGAGACCGGCAGGGAAGGTGACGCGGGTGAGAGAGGAGCAGAGGTGGAAGGCGCTGGGGCCGATGGAGGTGAGGCCGGCGGGAAAGGTGACGGTGGTGATGGAGGAGCAGTGGGCTAAGGCGCCCATGCCGATTGAGGTGAGGCCGGCGGGGAGGGTGACGGAGGAGAGGGCGGAGCAGCGGCGGAAGGTGTGGTTGTTGATGGCGGTGAGGCCGGCAGGGAGGTCGATGGAGGAGAGCGAGGAGCAGCCCTCGAAGGCGCTGCTGCCGATGGAGGCAAGGCTGCGCGGGAAGGCGACCGAGACGAGAGAGGCGCGGTTGCGGAACGCCCGGTCCGGCAGGTGCGTCATGCCTTCGGGCAGCACCGCGTGCCCGTCGGTGACGAAGACCTGCCAGCCGCCCACGTCCAGAGTCTCGGAGCCGGTCGGCGAGAGCGTCGCCGTCTGGTCGGCGAGGTCGGCTAAAAGTCGAGTGGCGTCGGCGAGAGACATCGACATGCACCTTTTTGCCTTAACTCGAGGACAGGTGTCCTCAATCAAGCCGTCGGGCAAAAATGTTCTGTAAAAGAAAGAAAACACTGAGGAATGGGAGGACTGGGCAAAAATGTTCTTTGTGTGTTTGTGCCCCGTTTGTGCCGCGTCCCGTGCCCCCGAGTTAGAGTTTGGCCTTTATACGTTATTCTTCCGATTCTATATTCTTTTTCGAAGCGATTTTCAGCGATTTTCAGCGGGAATATAAAGAATATTTGAGAATATAGGCCCGATTTGGAGCTGTATTCTTGGCATATTCGAGAATATAGACCCTGTTTGGGACAAGAATACGGAAAGAATTACGGGAAAAGAAATAGATCGTACTGGGCGAAAAAAGTTAAAAAGCCCAATTTGGAAAAAGGGGGTTGAGCCCAAAGAGAGAGGGGTTTTGGAATTTCCGCCTCCCGGGTGAAGACACACCCTATTTCACAGCCCGTTCCAGGACTCAGGTGCTTCCAACAACCGACAGCGGGGATGAGGGCATTCACACAACTTTACCCCCGGGGGCGCGAAGCCCGAGGGCCCCCCCCCCCCCGGGGGCCGACTGATTACCCCCCCCCCCCCCGATTACCCCCAGTCTCTCGCCGATTCTCGCTGCAACCTTCATGCCACCTCGCGGTCGTCCCACTCTCGTCGTTCTCTCTCTCTCTCTTGTCGCTTCTTCCTCTGTCTGTCGCGTCGCTCTCCTCTGCCTCGTTCTGCGACGGCGCCGCCGCCTGCCGCTCCCTTGCTCTCGCTGCTTCTCTCGCCTTTCGTCGCAGCTCTGCCCTCCTGGCGGCATATTTTGGCCCCTCGAGGCACGAGGGCCGGGGGGGGCCGCTGTGCGCTGTCCTGCCCTTTTGCGCGTTGGTAGCCGGATTTACTTCTCACCAAGAATCTCATGGATGCCCGCAGCTTGAAGCGCCGTCTCGGCATCGCGCAGATCCGCTGGGAGTGCCCAGGGACGACGGCAAGAAACCCAGTGGTGAAGCGCCTGATGAAAGAGGGGCGTGAATGACGAAGTGTCGGAGGCAGAGCTCATCAACACACCACAGCTACACCTTTGGAGGCGCCACTGATCCTGGTCATTAGAGCTGCCAGGGATAGCGTCAGGAGCCGGTAGGAGTCAAAACCCCTCATATTGCTCATATTTGAGACATCGTGTCCCATATACTTTCGCACAACGAGCCCTGTTGTTGGGGTGTAATTAGCCCCTGCCGACGCTTCGTCAGGGGCAAACCTCCATCAGCACACAGTGCACACCGCTTTTTCTTTTTCAGTGCTATACGCGTCTCGGCTCTCGTGTGACACACACTCACGCGTCTCGCTCCTGCCTGTCAATCAATCAATCCTGCCGATCCACCGTACTACTCGCGCGCCTCTGCTCGCACACAGGAACAGACTCCTCTCCCTCTCTCTCGACCTGCATGCAGACAGCCAAACGCGCTCTCTCTCGGCACTCGGGACAAACAGCAGACGGGACAGTAGTCAGAACCGGAAGTGTGCGGCGGTAGCAGCACCACTCTCCCCTCTCGCCGCCCGGGCGGTCCCTCTATCTCCGCTCCCCCCTCGCTACCCTCCGCTCCTCCGCACACCTCACGTCGCGTCGCCTCGTCCTAGGCCATTGCAGGCTGGGAAGTGTCCATCTCGGCCACATCCACCTCCTCCGGCGCCGCCTCCTCGGCCGCCGCCTCCGGCGCCGCCTCCTCGGCCGCCGCCACCTCGGCCGCCGCCACCTCGGCCTCCTCCTCGGCCGCTGCCTCGAGCTCCGCCTCAGCCGCCGCCTCAGGGCGGGAGGCCCGCCGCACCGGGCTGCGCCACGCCGGCCATCGCCCGCGCTAACAGCACCTGCGGACCGGGATGGAGTGGGCGTTTGTTCATTCGGCGGGGTGTCGGCGGCGCGGTGCGAGCGGCGGGCCAGCGCCGCGAGGCGAGGGCCGGGCGTGGGCCGTTGTGCTTTGGCAGCCGGTCGGGTGGCAAGCGCAGGAGTGTGCGTGCGTGGGCGGAGAGAAACAGACATGGACGCCGCGTCTCGGAGGGGCGTCGAGAGTGTCTCGAGAGTGTCTTGAAGTGTCTCGAAGTGTCCCTCTAGCACGCAAACGCAGAGCGGGCAGTAGAAAAGTGTCTGAAGTTGGCCTCGAAATCACAAGTGTATCGGAAGCGTCTCGGAAGTGTCTAGGAAGCGTCCCGCACCGACTGCTCCTGCAGCGCCTTGATGTAGGCGGCCTGGAAGGCGGCGACCTGCTCCGCCGTCAGGGTTGGCACCCCCGCCGTGGGCGCCGCGCCGGCGTGGCTAGCGGCAAACTGCTCCTGCAGCGCCTTCATGTAGGCGGCCTGGAAGGCGGCGACCTGCTCCGCCGTCAGGGGTGGCACCCCCGCCGCGGGCGCCGCGCCGGCGTGGCCAGCGGCAAGCGCCGGAGGGAGCGGCGTCGGGCCGAGCAGGCTGCTCGTGCCGCCCTGCGCCCTCGCCGGCGCCGGCGCCGGCTCAGCCGCCGCGAGGCCGGACCGGTGCTGCTCGCCCTCGAGCGCCTTGCGCAGATGCGAGGGATCGCCGTACGACGCGCTGCGGCTGAGTCCATCCTTTCTGGTCTGCGCGGTCGGAGCCTTGAGCCTCTGCCGCCGGTTCTGGAACCAGATCTGGACCGAGCGCGGCGTCATGCCCAGGCGCTGCGCGAGCGACTGGCGCTGTTCCAAGTTGGGCCAGCGCTCCTGGTCGAAGGACTCGATGAGACCCGAAAGATCAGCCGCGCTGATCTTGGTCCTGCTGAACCTGGTCCTGCGTGGGGTGGCCCGGCGGGTACGTCTCAGAGAGGCGCGACGCCGGCAGGAGAAGAGGGAGGGAGCGGCCGCTGCGCGCGTGCGACGGGCGGAGGCGGGAGGCGCTGTGCGACGGGGACACTCGCCGCGCGCGTCTCGGCAGTGGCAGGGATCAGTTCTGTGTGCTCACCGCTTTCGCCGCGGCGCCGCCTTGACGGCGGCCTCAAAGGGAGGATCGGCGAACTCGGAGGTGGCCGCCTCCGGCGCCGCCTCCTCGGCCGCCGCCACCTCGGCCGCCTCCTCGGCCGCCGGCGCGACGGCGGTGGCGGCGGAGGCGGAGGGGGCGGCAAGCGGGGCCGCAAATGGGGCGGCAAGCGAGGCGACCGGCGGCGACGGTGGGACCCACAGCCCCTTTGCTGCATCCCAAGCGGGCGCCCACCCGGCGCCCACCCAGTAGCACCACTCTCCTGCCGCGACGCCCATGGCGAGGAGTCGGCGAGCCACCGCCGGCCGCCCGCTGACGAATTGGCCGCCCCGCTCAACGTTGCTCCACACGAGGAGGGTGGGCGTGCCGTCCCACGTCCCCGCCTACGAGGGTACCCTAGTCTGTGAGTGTGCCGGCTCCTCATCCCGCCCTCACCCCACCCCGCGCTCAAAGCACCTGCGTCTCCTCGCGGACGTGCCGCTCCATCTCGCCCACGAAGCGCTCGGCGGCAGCATCCTGGACGCTCCACTCGAACCCCAGCTCGGAGAAGGCCTCCTGCCGCTCCGGGAAGCCCTTCACCCAAACGCCCTTGCTGCGGATGTTGCTCCAGAGCCGCCCGACTCGAATGCCCTTGAAGACGGCATCGTACCTGTGCATCTCGGGCATGTCCTTGACCTCGGACCACAGCGCGAGCGCGAGGGAGTAGCCGGCCACGGAGCTGAGGAGGCCAGCGGACGCGTCCCCGCGGCTGCAGCCCTCCTCGCCCCACGTCAGATTGAGCATCGCGGGCCAGGGGCCGCCGCCCGCCTCGATCGTCGCCTAGAGTAACAAATGAGGGACGCGGGTGTGCGGCGTGGGGCGGCGGGGGCGGCGGGCGGTGGGAGACGACTGCTCGCCCGCTCCACCTTCGCGCACCATGCGCGCTGCTCGTCGGGCGGGCCCAGCTCGCAGTCCTTGGTGACGGCGTCCGCCGAGAGGAGCGACCCGTAGTCGTCGCCGGCGGGAAGGTCGGGCCAGACGAGGACTGGCCGCCAGTCGAAGCCCTCCTCGCCCACGATGCTGAGGACGACCTGGAACGAGACGTCCTGCTCGGTCTTCTCCGCCGCCGAGAGGTGGCCGCCCTGCCGGTCACCAAAGAGCTTGCAAACGTGCCACACCATCTTGCGGCCGGCTGAAGTGTAGACCGCCTTGCGGCAGAAGACGCCGGCGTAGTTTTCGGGGAAGTTGTAGCGCTTCACGAGCTCGGGATGCAGCGTGGCCATGTAGAGCGCGGCCTTGTGGGTGCGGCCGGCCGCCTCCTCCTTCTCGGCCGCCTCCTGCATGAGCTCCGTCTGGCCCTCCCACTGCTCGGCGAGGTGCTGGGCGAACCAGTCGCTCGCGCGAAGCGCGTTGGCGACCGGGTCCGTCTCGTTCCAGGCCGTGTGCCGCTCCTCGACCGTCGTGCGCGCGCCCGCCTCGCCGAGCATGCGGAGCAGCACCGGCAGCGTCGCGTGGCCGCCGGAGGGCACCGGCCCGCCCGAGAACTTGACAGTCGGATCGTCGCCGTTCTTGACGCGGTGAGCCGAGATGCCGCGCCCGAGGTTGACCGACGCCCCGACGGGCTGCTCCCTCAGCACCGCGCATGTCGCCTCCAGCCACGCGCCGAGAGAGAGGTCCTCGAGGACCTCGACGCCCGCGCCGCAGCCCGCGCCACCCGGCCTGAGGTGGCGAACCAACCGGCTCGCGTCGAGTAACGTGTCGAAGTCCTTGACGACGTTCGGCGAGGGAGGAGGAGGTACGAGCAAATCCTCCAGGCGCAGCAGCTCGAGCAGGCTCGGCGTCCTTGGCTCAGCGGGCGACGGCTGCGGCTGCGGCAGCGGCGGCGGAGGCGTGGACGGCAGCCGCAAACGCCACGAGCCGGCCGCGGCTTCCTGCGAGAACTGCACGAGGTGCTCATCGCTCTCGCGGCCCAGCCGGTCCTCGGGCGGGGTCTCGGCGAACCCCGACGCCGTCTTTCGAAGCTTCGAAGGCGGCGTTTTCGGCTCAACCGTCGCGCCGGGCCGCTTGGACGCCGGCTTGGCTGAGGCGGTGGGCCGCTTGGACGTCTTCGATGAAGTCCGCCTCGGCGCCGCTAACGAGCCAGCGAGGTCTGAAGTTTCGGGGCGATAGCTTGGCATCCCGAAGGGTCGGGGGCCCCACACGTGCCCTCGCCGAGACGGAGGAAGAAAAAGAATTCATTTTCGGCCCTCGGGTATGTTCGTAAAAGTACATACAGTGGAAAAAAGAAATAGTGACTGCTATGAAGATCTGGGCACTCGACACGCTGCCTTCCCTCGAGGAGGTGCAGCCCGAGCCGGCGCTGCTGGCGCGCGCAGCGGAGATCCCGCTGACGTCGCAGATGGAGATGCAGCGCTGCCCCGGACAGAGGAGCTACTGCCACAAGATCGGTCAGGGGTGCGGCGGGCCGCAACACCGTCAGGCGTGGGAAGAGTTCCGGACGGAGCTCGACCACGACGACCTGCAGGCGATGGCGCGTCACTTTGTCGAGGACCAGTGCAGGGACCTGACGCCGGAGCGGCGAGCGGCCTCGGCCCAGTTCGTCTTGCTCCTCGTTACTACGGGACTCGAGCTGCTGCGCGGCGTGGCCGTGCAGCTGCACAGCCTGGAGGTGGAGCAGTGCTGGGCATGGTCCGCTCGCTGCGAGCCCCGCAGACCGCCCGCCCGCCCGGCGGCTCAGCGGCGCCCCCGCCCGCAGGGACCTCAACGGCGAGCGCCCCGGCGAGACGTACTCAGCGGCGTGGTGCGTCAAGCGCGTGCTCAGTCAAATCCTGCACGGCATGACGCGGTCGGAGTGGGTGCCGGACGTCTCCAACCGGGCGCTGGGCGGGTACGACTGCTGCGCCCGCCACGAAGGCTGCCTGGAGCACTTCGCGCTCGTCGCCGGACGGCGGGAGCGGTGGTACAGTCTCTCTCCATGTGCTCGAGCCTACTCCACACCCCGGTCCATGTTGGAGCGACTCACGCGCGCTGGCCGTGTCCCACAGGTATGCATTGGGTGTGCTATACTTGCTACCCGCAAGCGATGGGCGCGCAGGTGCGGGAGGCGAGGGAGCGGGCGAGGGCCGCGGCGAGCGAGGCTGCAGCTGCCGCGTCGGACGCGCGCAACACTGCGATGGCGGTCGCCATCTCGGACCGGCACCAGGCCGCAGACATATTCGTGGCTGTGGCGGCCGACGCCGAGGCCAGGGCAGCCAGAGCTGACCGGTTCCGAGGGGACGATCCGGTCTGCCCTTGCTGCGGCGCGCACGTGCGATCCGCCTTCTCGGCCAGCTTGGCCGCAGGCCGGGCGGGTGCGTCCGCTGCGAGTACGAGTGCTAACTGAGAGAGAGACGTGTGTGTGCTCGAGATTGTAGAGCCAGATGCCGAAAAGCAACTACACGAGAAATCCTCAAGGTCCTCCCGTATCCGGCCTTTAGAGTTGTTTGTTTGACACGCATGAGCGACATCACGTCGCTCCCACCTGGCAACCCTGTCTGCACGTCTCGCGCGCGCGTGAACAGGGCTCCAGGCCCCAAATGTGAAATGACGTGTGAGTGTTAGAGTTGTTTGGTATTGCTAACAATCTCTCACGTTGGAAGTGGGTGGAGTCTCGGGGCGCTCGCCCTCTTGTTTGGCTCCTTTGCCTCCATTGTGGGCGCGTCGCCAGAGCATTAGAGGACGGGAAAACTTGCCACAAGTGACAAGAAGAAAACCAGCTCGCTCACACAGCGGTGATGAAGGCTGGGGCTCACGAAACTCGGAGGCCAGAGCCGCAATCACACAGCTACACGGTGGTTCTCCGCTCCTGCATCTCTTCCGCATCCGCCCTCCGGATGCGCCCCTGCCCCCTCCCGCCCTCCCCGCCACGCCGAGCGCCCCTCCCTTTCCCCGCCCGCGCAGCTCCGACAGCCATGGCTACGTACGATATTGCGCCGGTCCTCTCGGCCGACTCTCCCGATGGAATGAAGGCTGCTGCCAAGACCCTGGCAGACAAGGTGGCGGCCGGCGGGCCGGTGCGCTGCCCGCACGCCCGCGCGCACCGCCTCGCTCCCTCGCCTGCTCGGCGCCGCCCCTCGGCCCCGTCCGACTCGTGACGCGCCTCGCCGCCGCCCGCAGCTGTCCCTCAAGACGTCTGGGCTCATCGCGAGCCTCAAGTCGGAGCTCGCCGACAAGGGCAAGGCCAAGGCGAACCAGCGCGCCGCTTCGCTCATCGCGCTCAACGCCCTGCTCACCAAGCTCGGCGCCTCGGGAGAGGCCTGGATTGCGCCGATGCTTCCGGACGTCATCGAGGTGAGCCTCTCCCCGCCTCGGGCGGCCCCGCCCCGCACGCGAGAGAGCTCTTCGCCACACCCTCCGCCACCGCCCCGCCCGCCGGCCGCTCCCGCCCCTCCCATCCCCCGCCCGCCCCCCCCAGGCGCTCTCGGACAAGATGAAGCCGGTGCAGCTCGCCGCAAACGAGGTCGTCACGACTCTGGGGGACACGCTGTCGCCGAACGCGCTGCGCTTCGTCATCCCGATGGTGCTGGCCGAGTGCGACGGCAAGTGGCAGGGCAACCTCGGCCGCGCCCAGATGCTCGGCAACCTCTCCAAGAAGCACCCGAAGCAGATGGCGCGCCACCTGACCGAGGCGACTGTCGCGCCAGCCCGTCTCCCTCCTGCCACCGCACCCTCCCTCTCCTTCCTCAGCGTGCACAGCCTCTGCGCCCACCTCCCTGCCAGCCTCAGCCCATCCAACCCCCCCCCCCCCCCCCAAAAACTCCTCAGGCCCGCATCGTCGAAAACATGGCCAAACTCTGCGACGACCCGTACAGCGCCCACTAGAAGCGGAAGATCTCCCCGTATCTCCCCAGATCTCGTCCGCCCAGAAGCGGAAGACGGACTCTTGTCTCCCAACTAGCGCTCGAGAGGACACGTCTTCAGCTGCTCGGCCGTATTCCGCTGTATTCGACTGTACTCGCACCCCTCGTCTCCGCGCGGCGCTCCGAAGACTCTGCACAAGACCGCACTCCCCCGCCCTTATGTTGGCGTCTCCACCGCGAAGGTACGAGATCGCGCCGTTCGTGCCGCTCCTGCTGCCCGCGCTCGAGCGTGCCAAGGAGGAGATCTCCGACCCGGAGTGCCGCGACGTCTGCGCCAAGGCGCACGAGCAGCTGTCGCGCACGGCAAACAAGCCGCCCGTGTGGAACCGGATCGAGGCGCCAAAGGCACTCGGTGCGGGACTGCCCAGGACACATCTGCGACATGCCTGAGACATGTCCGATAGGCGTCAAAGGTCTCCGCCACCATCGAGGGCCTCTTCGGCGCCGTCGACGCCGACGCGCTCGCCTTTGCGACCTCGATCTCCCTCGCGCTGTGTGACCTCAAGAACCTCGCGCCCGCCGATTGGGCGGCGGCCCTCAAGCCCTGCTTCGACGCGGCGCTGCCAAAGGCGGACACCGGCAAGCTGATCGGCTCGCTGCTCGAGCAGTGCGCAAAGGACGTGCAGATCGAGGAGGCAAAGGAGGAGGTGGACGACGCGGAGCAGCTGTGCGACTGCCAGTTCTCGCTCGCGTACGGCAACAAGGTCCTCCTCAACCAGACCAAGCTCAAGCTCAAGCGCGGCTACCGGTACGGCCTGTGCGGCCAGAACGACTCGGGCAAGACGTCGCTGATGCGCGCCATCGCCAACCAGCAGGTCGAGGGCTTCCCGCCCCCGACCGAGCTGCGCACGATGTTTGTCGAGACGGACGTCACCGGCGAGGTCGCAGACACCGAGTACGACGACGGCTCCGGCCGGCTCCTCTCCGAGTGCTCGGTGATTGAGTTTGTCTCGAAGTTCGCCGGCCTCCAAAAGTACGGCGTCACGGAAGAGATGGCGCGCGAGAAGCTCCTCTCGGTCGGCTTCGCCGAGACGGACGCGATGCTCCCCGACGGCACGCTGCCCGCGGCCTCGCTGCAGAAGCAGGTCGGCCGGCTGTCGGGCGGCTGGCGCATGAAGTGCGCGCTGACGCGCGCGATGCTGATGAAGGCCGACATCCTGTTGCTCGACGAGCCGACCAACCACTTGGATCCGGGCAACGTCAAGTGGGTGATCGACTACCTCACGTCGCTGAGCAACGTCACCTCGATCATCGTCTCGCACGACATCAAGGTGCTCGACATCGTGTGCACCCACACGCTGCAGATCACAAACCTGAAGCTCAAGCTCTTCAAGGGCAACCTGACCGAGGTTGCCAAGCGCGACGCGCCCGAGCTGCTCTCGTACTTTGAGCTCAAGGCGACAAAGTTCAAGATGAACTTCCCGCAGCCGGGCCCGCTCGAGGGCGTCACCTCCAAGGGCAAGCACATCATGAAGATGACGAACATCACCTTCACCTACCCGGCCGCCGAGCGGGCGCAGCTGACCGGAGTCACAGTCCGCGTCTCGCTGTCGACGCGCGCGGCCTGCATCGGCAGCCGACGGCGCGGCGAGCCGAGAGGGAGTCTCGACTGCTCAGGGGGCATCGCCCGCCAATAGGTGCCAACGGCGCCGGCAAGTCGACGATGATCAAGCTCCTCACTGGCGAGCTCGAGCCGGACGCCGGGTCGGGCGAGGCGCGGGGCGGCCTTCGGAGCCGGACGCGTCCGGGACACGTCGTTGACGTGTCCGAGACGTGCGTCACAGGTGTGGCGGCACCCCAACTGCCGCGTGGCGTACGTGGCGCAGCACGCCTTCCACCACATCGAGAAGCACCTCGAGAAGACGCCCAACGAGTACATCCGCTGGCGGTACGAGCACGGCTCCGACAAGGAGTCGCTGCAGAAGATCACGGCCAAGATGACGCCCGAGGAGGAGAAGAAGATCACGCAGGTGCCCTGCCTCCCGCGCTGCCCTCCTCGCCCGCCCTCCTCGGCGGCTCGTCGTCGGTAGGGCAAAGGCCAACGCCAGCGGCTTCTATGAGTATGCAGGCGCTATTCAGGCGTCCCTTAACCCTCACCACCGGCCTCACCGCCTGTCACTCCTGCCCGCCACTCCTACTCGCGTCTGCAGGCAGACTTCGTCCTCACCAACGGGGCTCTGGGTGCAGCAGCGCCTGCGCGCTCGCCCGAAGACCGCGGGGGGGGGGAGAGAAATCTCGCGTCGAGAGGCGATGGACGTACTCGAGGAGATCAAGGCGCTCACCTAATGGACACCCACCTCATC